CCATGTAGCTTTCCTTCACTACCCTTATCACTGGCCTAATTTCATACATAATTGTGTGATTCTTCTTTCAATTTATTTCCCTGCCTTTAGACCCTTGGATATGAGAGCTACAATTACAAATCATATTTTTATTTATCTTATTTTTCATATACAGGTATTTAATAAATATTTGTGAAATTAATTAATTATTATAATAATGACTAACATATCATACATTTAGTGGCACCATCTTGAGAGTAGAACAGGATTTAAATATATCCAGAACTAGATTAATAATTCCACCCTAAATGTGGTCTTCTCCCATCTTGTCTCACTTAGTGAATATTCTCAGCCATCAAGACAGAAAGGGACTATTTTCTTACTTTTATCATATCTACAGTATTATTAAATAGAATTACTTGATAGTGTATTAGTCATAGTATGCCAGAGAAACACACTCACTAGGAGATACATGCATGTATATACATACAGAGAAGGGAGAGAAAGGGAGAGATACATGGTCTGCTGTCTGCAAATGGAGACCCAGAAAACCTAATTCATTTCAAATGTGAAGGCCTGAGAACCAAGGGAGTCAGTGGTGCAAATTCCAGTCTGAGGGCAGAAGAAGAAGAAGAGAAGAAATGTTCCAGTTCAATCAGCTTTTTGTTTTATTTGGGTTTTTAATGAATTAGATGAAGCTCACCCACACTGGGGAGGGCAACCCACTTTGCTGAGTCCAATAATTCAAATGCTAATCTGGTCCCCAAACACCCTCACTCACAGCCAGAAGTAGTGTTTAATCTCGGTAGGTACCCCATGGCCCACAAAGCTGACATAAAACTCATGATCACAAATGGCATGCATCTGTTTTAAAGACATACTAGTTTTGACTTGGTGATAAATTATTGCCTTTTTATAAATCAGGCTGTACTATAATTGATCTATTTTTTTTTTTTGGTCATGAGAACCAATGATTAGAAATTTAATATATTATTACACACTGTCATTTAGTTTATTTATTTTTTGGTGGGGGAGGTAATTAGATTCATTTACTTTTAGAGGAGGTACTGGGGATTGAACCCAGGACCTCGTGCATGCTAAGCATGCGCTCTACCATTTGAGCTATCCCCTCCCCCACCTATTTAGTTTAATATTTAGTACATTATTTTGTAGCTACAACTCTAATTTCCTGAAATTAAACTTGTTATAATGTTACTAATAAAGGTCTCTTGCTAGATGGCTTATATTCTGTTCATCCATTTGTAGTGTAATTCTGCAATATCATAGAAAATCCACACAGCTTAGACACTTTAACAATTAAAAATTATAATAGTAATTTCAATCTAATCTAATAAATGACCAATTTTAAAGTCAGTAGCCTTTCAAAATTAATTATTATTTAAAAAAAAAAACCCTCTAAATCTTTATAAGACCTTATTGGTTAGAAGTAAAGATGGCAGAAATGTTGACCAGCTGTTTCTGGAGCATGGCCTTTTATGTAAATCATAGCTAACAAAACCTAGAGAGTGTTTTTTTCAATTACAGACACAGATTTGCAGATTAAATACTGCACACTTGACTTGTTTCCATGGATGGCAGACTGGATTCCTTGAGGGCGAACGTCCTACCAAGAACGAAGGAAATTACACATCTGTTTGAAGACGGCAGAGTAGTAACAAGACAATAGAAACTGGAGGATATATGGGTTTAGACTGGAGAAAAGTGCGTAGATGGAACTCTTGGAATGAGTTCTATTTTCCCCCAAGACATTTTCCTTATTTCAGGTGGCAAAGTGGATGCCGAGAAGCTGAGAGAGCTGTTAGCTGTCTCGCGAGACCGGGCAGCCCTGAAGCAGGGGCTACTCCTTGGAACTGAGGGTGCAATGGAAACAGATGATCCTGCACAGAGATTTCAGTCCACGCTGCTCCTTACTTCAGTCCCAGGTTGGGTCAAGATTAAATGTCTCCACGTCTGTGAATCTGTTTCTGTTTTGTAAATAAGTTTGTTTGTCTCATAGGAAACAAACTTACGGTTACCAGCGGGGGAAAGGGGTGGGAAGGGATAAATTGGGAGTGCTAGATTTGCAGATACTAATGTACATAAATTGATAAACAAAATAGATAAAATTTTACACTGTACAGCACAGAGAACTGTATTCAATATCTTATAGTAACTTACGGTGAAAAAGAATATGAAAATGAATATATGTCTGTTCCTATATGACTGAAGCGTTGTGCTGTACACCAGAAATTGATACAACATTGTAAACTGACTACAACTCAATAAAAAAATTAATTAAAAAAAAGATTAAATGTCTCCTATGCCTCCCAAGAATATTCTCTCTAGAACAAGATAGACTCATTTAGAGCCTCGTGCTTTCAAACACACTATTGGGTTTCATTTTTTTTTTGATCAGGCAGAAACAGACAAAATAAAATTGCCAAAAATGAAGATGTAACTAATTATCTCTCTATTTGAATACATATGTGTACAGAAATATGTGTGTGTGTATATACATATATACGTGTGTGTGTCTGTGTGTCTATATAGAGAAAGATTCAGATGTTTAATAAAACAAAATTTTCAACTAAACAGTGATTAGCATATATTCAAGGAAACAGAAAATAACAAATATATATGTATATATACAAATATAAGCATCATATGAAAAAATAAAAGATTCTTAGGAAGTGGTGTTTTATATATAGTTCAAAATCATTGAGGATTTAGCACATAGGACTTTGTATTTTACTACACATATGCTGTCCAGTATGATAGCCATAGTTAATATAGGGTGTGTGAAATGTGGCTAGTCTGAATGCCATGTGCTGTAAGTGTAACATACACACCAGCTTCCAAAATTGTATGAAAAAATAATGAAACTTACCCTGTTAATAATTTTCTTATTTATTATTTATTAATACATTATATATAATATTCAATTAAATGCACAACTAAAATACTTTCTCCTGTATTTTAAACTTTTAATTATGGCTCATAGGAAATGTTAAATTATATATATCGGGCTTGCATTATATTTTTATCAGACAGCACTGCATAAAGAGTACAAAATGAAAAAATTAAAAATTCTTACCCTTCATAGAATTAGTAGAGATGCAATATTGATGTCTTGGGTAAATAATTTTGTAACAAAGATAAGTTTCCTTCTAAACTAAGAATTGTGAAATATAAGAATATGATGATAAAAATTAATAAGGAGGCATGCTGATATGTGATATACAAAATACATACTTGTGGTGGTCCTTAAGATGCAAAACATAGGGTATATATTGAGTAACAGTAAACAAAAAGTCTGTAATGCAAAGAAGCATTGAAAAACAGTGGGAGATGATAAAAGCTGAATTATGAAAGGCAACATAAATACGATTTTTGAAACAGTCCAAAGGACAGTGTGGATTATATATAGTTGTTGAGTCAAGACATTTGTATTCTGCACTTCACGTTAGGTCTAAAGTTGAGATCTGTCAAGTAATTAGTAAACATAATTAATTGCTCCATTATTCACATAAGATGAATCATTTCCCAATGTTTAGTTTATCATTATAACGAAAAGTAAATGATGAGTGAGAATCTCTGAGCTCTGTTTCCTCTACATCCTCATTTAAAGCACTGTAGAAGTAATACTTGGGAAGTATTCATCTAAAATAATGGCCCCTCAGCATTTTAAATTAGTCTAATATCATAAATCTTTTCAACTCTCCTTGGCATATACCTATTACTAAAAAATCCAGTGTATATTATTTATTTCTTTTGTAAAGGTGTGAATGTCTATGGTGGTATGTATTGGTCATATTAACTCAAAATTTAGACACCTATTTTTCTAAAACAGTAATCTGTTTAGCTAGCACAGATCATGTACAATTTACGGTTGTGTAATGGAAGTTAATGTCAAAACACCACTATTATCATCACTACATTATTGCTCTCTAATTAGAGCACAACCTGCATTGTCATTGCTTTAACTGAAGATCAATTTCTCAATCACTGAATTACGTAAAGGCCTGAGAGGAATGATACTTATTTCTGTCTTCGATTTTCGAGACTTTTCTGACCTGTCAGTACACCTAGATTTAGAATAAATGTTAATACAGTAGTTTATCTTTAATCTGTGAGGAAATCTGACAGCTGAGATTTTATAACGGTGAGCACCTTTGCCATCTCTGCTCGCGGATTTTTGAGAATACAGAATCATTCTGCAAATTCCCTTTTTATAACCCCCACCTCAATCTCCTGGGCTGGGAGGTTATTTCTACATAGCTGCTCGTACAGCTTCATACTTCTTCCTTTCTTTCAAATGTCATGAACAAGACATAATTCTTTCTTCCTATCTCTGTTCTTATAAAGTGTGTGTGTGGTTGGGGTAGTGTCATTTTGGTTTGTTCTAGAAGCCAGTCAGCTTTTGCTTTGACAAAAGAAACAAAAAACACAAAGCCCCTACCTACACCATTATCTTATTGTCAACCTATAAACAGTGAAGTGAAAAGTCCCCAGCTCCTTGCTCTTGGACTTTCCAGCCTCCAGAAATGTGAACAACAAATGTTATTGGTTCATGTTGCTCAGTCTATGATATTTTGTTATAGCAGCAGGAACTGACGGAGACACCAAAGTTGTAAAAATAGGTAGTCTACATTCATTGCCTCCAATTTCTCATTACTGTCATTTCTCTTTCAAGTGCAGTTTGGCTTTCACACAAAAATAATTATCTCCATTTATTCCCTCTATGGAACTACCAATGTTAACATTTCCCATTTTGTTTTTTAATCTTTCTCCTTTTTGTCTTTCACAGCATGACATGATCTCAGTTTCTACCCCCTACCCTCTGTTAATCAGCATAATTAGCTAATATGTAGTAATTAATAAACCCTAAAATAAGAGCAGTGTTTTTTTTTTCTTGTATAAAAATTCTGATCCCAAGTCCAAGCTGCTTTCATCTTTGGGATCTGTCATTTCAACACATGATCTCCATGGTTACCACCCAAGAAGGAGCAAAGAATGGGGGAGGCACACTTACCTAACTGGTTTAGTTCATATATGCTATGTGACATTTCAGTTCATAGTCTTTTGGCCAGGACTGATCCCTTGAATGGTTCTGCAAGGATGGGGGCTGAGAAATATGAAGAAGACACTGAGAATATTCTGGTAACTGAAACATCACTTCATTCATCCTCTTCAACATACAAACTACCTAGGTCCTTCCAAAGGAATACAAATCAGAGTCGTATCCAGTCACTGTATCAGTTACAAGTTCAGGATCTTAGGGAATTAAATTCCTCTATCAAGTCCAACTTCATTTAACTTTTCTTGATCTGGAGATCTATGTTCTAAATAAACACCTCCCATCCATAATTTTTAATAATGAAACAGGGATAAGGTAATCACAATAAACACTACAATTTGAAGAAAATTAAAGTAGGAGAAACAAAATATTCTCTGGTTTATAATATTTCAGAAATCCCATTGGGCAAACACTGGGCAGTCTCCTCGTCTATAGAAGTGTGAAAGTTTTCCTGATGAGTGTCTGATTCTCCTCCATGGGAGTAACCCCTTACCGAGGGGTCTCTAGAGCCCTTTGTTCTGCCTTAGTAATCTGATCTTACCTCATCTTTTTTTTTTTTTGATATTTCTGAAATGAACATTGGGAAGTAAGCCCATCTTTTTAGTTATCTACTGATGCATAATAAAACATTGTAAAATTTAGTGTATCAGCTCTCTCCCTAATTTATTGATATTATTTATAATAGGCAAAAGGTCCCAGTCCAATCTGGTTTTTTGGCCAAGCCACTTTAATTAACTGAGAATTATTATAGAGCATGTATTTCTCAAAGCCTTTTGAAACCCCAGCTCTTAGTGGTTGGAGAATAGAATTAGTTGGTTCTCCCAACCCAGGAAGGCTCTTAATTCCTAAACTATCTCAATGCCCTTTCAGTTCCTTTTGGGAACAAGCATCAAAAAGCCTGAATTCACATCTTCCTCATTAACATTTTACCAAATAAAGTTAAAATTACACAACAGAAAATATCAATATCCAATTTTATATCCTCTTCCTGTATAGTTATAACCTCATTAGGCACATAGACTGCTTTTCTGGTTGTTTTAGAGGATAGACTGTAAAAAATTTGCATCTGTTTCACATCATGCTCCATCTAGCAGGCTCCTGATACCAGTTGCCTACACATCCTCTGTGCATCTATGTAGCCAAAGCCAAAGCCTGCAGTTTTGTTTTATTAGCACATTCCCCCTGCTGATATGCAAAGATAAGCGTTTAGAGAATGCTCAACTACAATTAATAACCTCAAACTGGAAGTGAAGTACACATTTCTATTTCTAACAAGTAAATCTTAACTTAAGGAAGCTTTGAAACGTGGTCTTTCTGCATGACAATGAAGATGAACCAGTGTGGGAAACATACATTGTCTTTATCTAGTCTATAATTTCATTTTTTACTTCCCTTTGATAAACTGTATTCTGACCTTATTTTTTACAAAAGAATCTGTTATATTCACAATTTTGTACTATTTAAAATTTATTTTCTTTAAATATTTGCAAATGATGCGACTGACAAAGGCTTAATTTCCAGAATATATAAATAGCTCGTACAACTTAATAACAAAAAAACAAACAACCCAATCCAAAATTGGGCAAAAGGCCTAAACAAGGAATTCTCCAATACACACAAATGGCCAATAGGCACATGAAAAAATGCTCCATATCACTAATTATCAGAGAAATGCACATCAAAACTATAATGAGGCATCACCTCACACCAGTCAGAATGGCCATCATTCAAAAGTCCATGAACAAATGCTGGAGAGGATTGTAGAGAAAAGGGAGCCCTCCTATACTTTTGGTGGGAATGTAGTTTGGTGCAGCCGTTATGGAATACAGTACGGAGATTCCTCAAAAGACTAAAAATAGACTTACCATATGATCCAGCAATCCCACTCTTGGGCATATATCTAGAGGGATCCTTAATTCAGAAAGATACATGCACCTCAGTGTTCATAGCAGCACTGTTTATGATAACCAAGACATGGAAAAAACCTAAAAGTCCATCAACAGACAACTGGATAAAGAAGCGGAGGTACATTTATACAATGGAAGCCACCATTGGTTGGGCATTCTGTTTCTTGCAACAGATAGCGTCATAAACGGTGAACTTCTGAGTCTTCTTCGTTTATTTTCCTTTGCAAATCAGGATAGTCACTGCTGTCCAGACATGACACCCACACTTTAACTTTGCTTTTGCTCTTGTGCTGCCTCCTCCTGGGATGTCGGGCCCATCCACATGGTCACTTAACCAAAATCATTTTCCATGCTCCAAGGTTCAGTGTAAACAGGAGACACTGGCAAGCTTCCCTTTAGTACCCTAACCAGATACAACCATGCCAGCTCTAAAATTTCACATACTGCCAGCTTTGAACCCCATGAGACCCCTGTCAGTACTGGCAGAAAGTAGTTTTGGATTTCCACAGACCTGAGTTAGCAAAGTTCCCCTTTTACCTAGCAATTATGTGACCTTAAGATACTCATTTAGCCTCTCTCTTACTCTCAGACTACTCACTTTAAAATGACATAATGACACTTTTTTGCTGGTTTCTTATGTAGATTAAATCCCAATTATGCCCTTGAAAACTGCAGTTTTAAGAAAATCCTGCTTAAATTTTCACTTGTATGGATAAAATATGGGTAAAAATAACACTACCTTGTAAGTTTTTGCTGAGGATCAAATGGGTTAATATAAATTAAACACTTAGAACGTTATTTGGCACATAGACACCACTGTCTACATTTTTTCTGTTATTATTAGTGCATTGCCTGACACTGAAATATATTCTTGATAAATTCTAATTATCATTACCATAATCATGTTTTCATATTTTTCTAAATATTTTAATTTGTTTACTTACATAGAGACACCTCTAACATCACATGTGACATGCAGATCCCAGCACCATGCCCATAAGTAGATCTTAGCAGAAATTGTAACTATTCTTCAAATAATATCTAACAGAAAGGACAAAATAATTCTAAAAACAAATCTTGAAGATTTTTTGCTCCAGATGATAAGAAAAATGAAAGCCATCATTGAAATGTTTATAAAAGATATAATCTCTGAGTCTGCAAATCTATGATGTTATTTTATGGTGAAAGAAAAAAATGTATAGTTTCTATGTCAGTCAGGTTTGATATTCATCACCACACATCAAATGAGTGAAATAAAGACCGTTCATGTCAAGCGGTCACGTATGTTATCAACAGAAAAAAAGTATTACAACCCAAGACTCTAGCATTAGATATCTTCTATTTCTCTGTTTTCTAAGTGTCTGCCAAGTTCCCACGTTATCTTGTACCATACATGATGAAGGGTGTCAGCATCAGATGTGTATAAGCATGCAGAATGTGAAAGATACATACGGACATTCACGGGGTACACCCTTGACAGCCTTCACCTGCCCACTTGTTCTTCTGTGCAGAAATCATCTGGGTGGCGAAAGTGCTTTTCATGGCTGTTGTCTCTGCCTGGAGCCCACAACACATCTTCTATGTAAACATGAAGGAGTTTTAAAGGCCTAGGAAATGTACACAAAGTTTCTCTTCATTGGCCAATTATAGCTCGTGTAACCATTAAGAACAGATTTTGATGGGGGCTAGGAGAATGAAGCAGAGTGCACATCTCCTAAATGTCACTGGAATCAATGCAACAGGAGCTGAGCAAATCAGGTCCATACGAAAAGGAAAAATAATTGGAAGCCCTGCAGCAGCCAAGTAATTTTAGGACACAGTCATCAATGGCCGTTAAATTCAATCTCCACCTGTGCTGCAGATCAACGAGGTCTGTAATTGCTGAACGGCTCTCTCTGGGTGTGTTTTTGTTTTTGTTTTTTTTCAGAGAGGAAAGACAATGGATTATTGTCCAATAGAGTTGTTTACAGGCTAGTTGTAAAAGTCATGGGTGTGAGATCTGATGAATACGTGGGTGGGCAGAAACAAGATTCCTTCAGTTAGGATTCCAAAAACAGCAATTTCTACATCGCCTCTGTCTGGGAAGGATTACAAAGCTGCGCTCCCACTCAATTACCTGTTGCAGCGCTTGCCTCAGCTGCCAGACTGCACCTCTTCTGCTGGTTTCCATAGAGATGCTGCCAGTGCTTCTGCTTTTCTTTTTATTATGCCTTGGCTCATGGAGAACTCTCCTGGCAATAGCCCAAGGGCTCACAAACGCCCTGACACTGGGATGCCAAGTTTCTCTAAATGTCTTCCTCTGGTGTCTTTACCTTGTTACAATGTGTGCAGTAGAGTTCTAGAGTAGAGTTTCAAAAATGTCCTGTTCTGATCAAAGGGGTGATTCTTTTTATTAGATAAAGAATCTTCTCCTCTTCATTTTTTTTTTTTTTGCCCAAACGGCTCATTTGAGTTTAATTTCTACTACTGTGTTTTCTCTATGTAGATATGCACGTAGATATTCCCAGAGACTGACTCTAGAAATTTGGTAATGTTGATTACACCACGAAGTTTAAGTGATTCAATTCTACCTACAACACCTATTTTTCCCTACCTAGCTATGGAGACAGAAAGTATATTCAACTTACGTTTGACATATGACCCTTACTTGTTTCAAAGAAAAGAGGTTGAATATGATTTAGTCTCTGTTCTTCCAAAGGTATCACTGTTTATGGGTAACCCCTGAGGGGGTGCAGAATACACTATCTCAAAATGTCCCACTTTGACATGTGGATTTTTCTGAGCTGAAGGCAGTTGAGACCCAGCAGACTTAGAAAGGCCTTTTCTCTCTCCCTTAACTACCTAAAATAATTTAGATAGGGGGTGAGTAAAGCTATTACCAGATAGTTTTTTATATCAGAAAGACTCAACTACATGGTGTGGCTCTTATCTTCCTGTGAATTACCTTTCCTCCCTTTAAAGCCTCAGCAGCCTACTTCCCTTCCCCTTGGCTTAGGATAGTATATAAGCTTCAATTAGCATGCTGTCTGGAAGTTTTATATTGTCTGTGGGGTTGTCATACTTATGGAATTAAATGCATTTTTCTCCTGTTAATCTACTTTACATCAATTTAATTATGAGACCAACCAAGGAACCTAGAAGGGAAGAAGGGATAAGTTTTGCAGCTTCCGCCACATAGAACCTTCCAATTCTACCTTAGCTGATCATTTCTTCGATTTGCATATGTATACTTTTATTGTCTCATTTTCAGATTTCTAGACTTTTGCAATGCCTTTTTTTTGTTCTTTTTCCATTTCTTAAAGTGGATCACAAGGGTGACATATAACTAATTATGAGTGGTATTCCAAGTACCGTGTCTGTAATGTCAAAGCTCTCCTGCCAGAGACCACCAGGAACACACCTGCAGCTGAACAAATCCGGTGGCTTATTGCTCGTTGTAACAATGGGACCGCACACAGTGTGGAACCTGGGGGTGGTAATTCACTAACAGCATGTTACAAAAGACTCAGACTGGAGTTGCACTCTAGTTAGGTGATTTGGGGAGGTTTTCAGGAAGAATAATTTTGCCGTGTATATTGCATAGTGTCAAGAGCTGGGGAGCATCCTATGACAGCTTATTTTAATTAATCATAGCTAGAAGGAGAGGGGATGAGAGCAAAGCTAAAGCTGTGACTGGTAAAGAAGCAGCCAGAGAGGGAGATGCTTGGGGCATTTTTGTTGTTGGAACAATGGTTCAATTTTTGTGTTCAGACGAGATTATGACATAGTCTTGTTTTTGTCTTGTTTGATATAGTTTGATCCTTTCCAGTCTGGCTTTTAAAATGGGCCAGTCAGGACAGGACCGAAATCCAGGATTAATTATGCTGTACTGCTGAGGTGAGACCTTTCTTATATACTCTAGTTTCCCATTAATCTTAAGGTTTTTCTGACATGCTGATGGCAGAAGTCGATGTTCTCAGATGCGGGTAACCTCCAAGCACCAGTCCTTCTAGTACTTGTGTGTAGTTCTTTCAGTGACTTCAGGTAACTCTCTTTTGAGATCACTGCCTTTCCTGTCTAATGTCTAATGTCTAATGTCTTAAAAACCATTGTCAGTTTTTTTGGTTATTTCAAGTGTGACAGTAATTTCAGTCTCTGTTACTTTATCTTGACAGGATACAGATGTTAGAGGAACAATCAGGGGTATTCTTCAATGCTATGTGTTCAACAGTCAATTTCAAAAGTTTCAAAATTTTTCCTATAAAAATGTCCATTTCACTCACTGAAATTTTCTCATCCTTTCATGATTATAGTGAGGTTGGAGAGAAACTGCAGGCAAATCCAAACTGAAATTTGTTTCCATCTTTCTCTGTGACTCTTCATCCTACCAAATAGATTTAAAACTCACTTCCATCTGAATGGTTTGCAAATTTAATTTACTATAATTATTACTTAACTCCTTTGTCTGTCTGTGTTTGTCTTTTAATATATTCATTCCCATGTTGGGTATTTTTATATTGAAATTCCTATTAGTATAATATTTTTCCAATAGCTTCTGTACCAAAATGATTTTCTATGCATTTATCACAAAATTGTGTAAGCATTATTAAAATCATTGACCTAACCAAAGTAATTTTCTTCAAATAATTCCAAACATGCTGAATCTGATATTGACTTCTCCAATTCCTCTACTGAAAAAAAAAACTTAGGTGATCTACAGCTCTTTATTTCTGTGTTGAGACATCAGAACATAATATGAAACAAATGAGAAAATAATTAATAGTCAATACATTAACTTTCTAGACTGTTTTTTTCCCTTTTTATCATTAATTAAGTTCTGTCCTTCCAATTAGCAATCTTAGAATATTTTATCAAAAAGAATGATTTGATGGGTGATTTGAAGAAGATTCAAGAAAGACATAATATCTGATACCTGAGTTGAGCATATTATAATATTTATATCTAACCCATACCAATTATTTCATTAGTTTCTACTGAATGGAAAAATTAATTAATGATTAACATTTTTGTGGGGACTAGGTGGGTATGTTTGTATACCTTAATACTTACTGCTTTAATATTTACCTAAAATCTTGTCTTCCTAGGAAAAGCTCAACACAGTGTCATGAGACTGTAGTGAAGCTGTCCAGCAGGCAGCTCTGTCAGAACTGCTGGCCATCTCCATGCCCCTGGAGACAGCCCTTAATCTAATCATGAGCACATAATGGAACCTGGGTCAACCACAGTATGCAAAGATAGCAGGAGGTGAGGAGACTTCATGGTTCTCATTCCCTGGAATCATGTAGGCCAGGCTGTGTTGTCATCTCATGGACAAAGACTGTCTGAGACAGACACCAAATCATCAAGAAGAACCATGAGAGGGAACAGTGTGACTAAGAAATAACCCTG